GGCGAGCGGTTGTTATGAAACCGCTCCCCCCCACGGCGTCAGGGTCGCCCGGTGCTCCCTGGTGGGTGGTGTCCCCAGGGTGGCCCGGGATGCTTTCTGATGCTTTCCCTTTATATAAAATGAAAGCGGCGCCTGTTTTTGTACAGCCGCTCAGTGTGCGCTGCTTGCAGAGTGGTAGATGCCCCAAGGTGGCTCTTCATCATTGGCCATTTTCCTTCTGGGGAGTAGGTAGAAAGCCATTTGAATAACGGTGGTGGCTGGGCTTCGAGGTGTCTTGGAGATGGGTGATGGCTGGTTTTCTTCTGAAACTTAACTTTGGGAAGAAATCCCGTCTTCTACCGCCCCCTCCCTCCCTCCCTCCCCTTCCGTTCTCCCTCAGTCTGGATGTATTTGTTATGCCATCGAGAAAGGCCCCTTGGATTGTAGAGAAGTATAACTGAGTCAGTATTCAGTGTTTCTTCCTAAGACTGATTTTAAACAGCTTATGGAAATAGAAGACTTATGCAATTTTAGAGTATTTCCTTGAGTGTTTGACACCATGGAGGGCAGGCAGGGTGAGTTAAAAAAAAAAAAGCATACTCTTTGGACAATTAATTGTATGATGAGGGGATTAAAAAAAAAAAAGTTCACCAGAGCCCATTTTTATGCCCATGAAACAAATTAATAGTGGGTGGAATGAGGAAGTGTTTATTTAACTTAAGTGTAAGTTAATTTATATGGCTTGTCTTTCCCTCTGGTTCTAAATGGGTGTCATATGTATATATTTAAAATCAATGTTTATTTAGAAGTGAGGAGTAGCATTGGTATCTTAAGAAAGTATGTTAAAAAAGCCAATATACAAAGGCACTAGTCGTAGCAGAAGTAATTGAAATATATGTCATCACTTTTTTGCATTGTGATGTTTTTACCTTTAACAACTACCCCCCCACCCCCACCCCATCATGACCAAACCCAAGGCTTCAGGCACTCTAGGCAGATACTGTGTACTGGTGAGCTACATCCCCAGACTTATCCTTACACCGTCTCATGGAAAGAGAAATTACAATAGCAAATTTTTGTTTGCTTTAGGTATCCCAGTAGATTTCAGTCCACTTTTTGAAATTTAATAAATAGGTTAAATGTGTAAGAAATTAGGATGAAAAAAACAACAAAGTAACTTCTAAAAGAAGTGAAACAAACTTTTTTTTTTTTTTTTTTTTTTTTTTGTTTTTTTTTTTTTTTGATTTTGTTTTGTTTTTTGTGTGAAAGAATTGAGCATCCACTTATTTATTCATTTAAT